CTTGTTACATAGCCATGTCATGGACCTAAAAAACTTCATATATCAGCAATATACATTGCAAGAGTAGCCTTATAAGAACTCCTTTCTTCATATAATTTAAAAAAAGTAAAATATGAAGGCCTTATTATATTACTTGCATATTTTTTTAGGTTTATGACATAGATCGATGTATTAAGTGTCCATTAAAGCTGTTTCTAAAATCCTCGGTAAATTAGTTTGGCTCACATCATTTTTGGAGCAAACCCTATATTTTACCCTATAGCGAGGCCTATCTTAGTTCCTATGGCAACGACGAATGTAAAAGTTACTGATCCTGCGTCAGCTGAGGATATTCCATCATATTTGACTCAAATATGATGATAAAACCTTTAAATTGAAAAAAATGTTTTTAGGGTGGAAGACCCCTTAAAAATGGAAACTCACTTGATTCCAGGCGGAGCAGTTGGTTCTGGTTGATTGGTTACTCTGGGTACTATATCGACCACGAAACAAAAAGGCCTAGGTTAGTTTAAAATCATCCATTCAGGGCCGTTGCTAATGGAGGTGTTAGGGGTGTGACACGCCCACCTGAAAAATAGTTGTCGAAAAATGAACAATTTATTGGCCAATTCTTAAAAACTAAAACATTTGCCTTTTGGTGTAACTAAATTCCAACCAGCCCTCCCGCCCGTCCATCGAAGCATATTTCGGAATTTTTTCACCGATGGCCGCCACATTTTTAGGTTACCTCCTCTAGAGAACGGGATCGAGCATGTCACTGCCAGTTGCCACATCCTTTTGTCGTCACTGAATGCAATACTCACACCCTGCGTAAACTGCTTCCATTATATTTCTACAGTCTCTACTTTTAACTGGTATAACTTGACGAACAAATGAAATACACATGCATTCTGGAAGTTAATGTCAAACAATTGTCAACATTTTGAGAAAACTGTCTAATGTTTCAAACGTTATACTTAGACCGTCTATTATTGCAATTCCTGTACTTGCAATATTTTATAAAAATATTGTTATACAACTCCAACCTTGCAATATTTTATAATACCTATTATTTATACAATAAAATGAAGCAGACAAAATATATTCATTCTACGAATTATTTAGATTAAAAAAACCCATATTTTTTTCAAATGGGGATTCTAAGATGGGGTCAGAGAGAATAAGTGAGGACAAGGGTGGACAAGCGAGAGTAAAAGATGAAGAAAGAAAGGTCAATACAATATAAGAAAAAATACAATAAGAGAAGAAAGGGCATGATAAAAAAGAATAAAGGAAGATAATAGAGTATAATGGAGAAAAACAAAGAATACGTGCAACAAGAAACGGTAAAAGAGAACAGAGAGAATAAGAGAGAATGAAGAGGGATGAAAGCGCGCAAAAAATGGATAAAAGCGGAAAACAGCAGATGAAAGAGGATAGAAAACAATAAAAGGATAGGAGAGAGTAAAAGGATAAGAAAGAAACGATGATGACAATAAAATACATACATGATAATTTGTCTGTTATGTTAGCGTTCTTCAATGGTGTCCCCTTCCAGCTGTTACCGTCCACTATATTAACACCAACATGCAGATCAGCATTATCCACACACGAATGACGAAACTCGGTAGTCGTCCAATTACACCCTTAAGCATTCACGCCTGTCAAGTTGCAATGGGAAAGGTACGTTTCCTTGAACTGCGAGCGACAAAGACTGGCTCCTTTAAGCTCTCCAAACAGTATTGTGCAGCCAGTTAGATCACAATTTTCAAGGCTGGAACTGCTGAAGTTGACGCGAGAAAACTCCGAGCCGCTGAGGTCAGTATTGCTCAAAGAATGCAATATTCGTGGAGAATGAGGTCGGTAAACTGGTCTCACAGGTCTGACTCGTGGATGGTACATTTTGCTTACAAAGTTTCTCAAAGATGGCCAACTGGGATTGCCTCCTTTGGATGCAAAATTCTCCAAAATACTTGGACATCGAATTAAGCAGTGGAATGGTTGATAATAAATTGCCTCTGCACACGTTTCGGTGTACTCCTTGTCAATGTCGCATTCGGCAAAGTAGGTAACTTCTCCCCTAGCCCCATCTGCATCAACTGGACAACATGAGCTTGTCGTACCACCGCCGTTGGGTTCTGTACAGACGATATTTCGTGCATCTGACTCGTTCGTTGTCTTACAAATCATTTCTAAGATTTCGCCTCGATATCCATACATCTGGGGGTCGCAGGTGTCATTAGCTTTGCTCAAATATTCGAATTCAACAAAAGATGAAGATGAAACTGATTTTGGTACTATTTCTTTGCGCAGACCAGGCTTTTGGAAAACATCTTGAACTCGCCACCTCTTGTTATGCCTCTTTGTTTTCAGTTTCGTGTTAGTTTTAGCCTTTCCAAGAAAAACATTTCTTAACAACGCATTTCTGTCGAATCTATCACCATCTTCAAATTTAAACATTAAATTCACAGCACAGCATGCCATCTCCGTTACATCTTTGTTATTATGTAGTTTGAATAACTGCTCCTCAAAGATGCGGCTCAACTCTATGCCAACTTCTTTGAGTATGGCTAAAATCGCCGAAACTGGATCAACTTTACACTGTTCTGTTACGTTGTTGACAGTTTTCGTATTGCTATGATTATCCTTGATTTTCACTGTAAGAGTTAATGCAGCCACAGCAGCTCCAGCGAATGCTGTTACAATTTCAAGCGTCGCGACTGAAATGGCAATAGCTAGCCCACCTCCGATACCAATCAAGAAGTTTGTCATCGGGCCAACAACACTTACAACTGCCTTGCTTTCCTTTTTTTCACTATCTAATTTTAGTCTTTTCTTAGAGAAACGTTCCATTTCTTTCTGAAAAAATTCACAACGTTCTTTCATCTCCTTTAAAGTCTAAAAAAGAAGGACGTTATGTTTCACAGTCCTTGTCAGATTTGCAGCAAGAAAAAAGTAACTTTTACATTAAGACTTAAGCCCATTTTCCACTAGGCGAATTTGTTCTCGCAAACAGTAAAAGAGAAGGAACTGGTCCAACTTTTTCGCAGCGAATTTTTTCGCTGACCAGTCACATTGCCGGTTTTTCGCCTCCCGCGAACAAATTCGCCTAGTGGAAAATAAGCTTTAGTCTAGGGGACATGTTTTCGTCGGACAGAAAAAATTCCGCGTTGTCAAAGAGGTGTCTGTCTTAGCGAGGTGCTGAGTTGATGCAAGGCATAATATATTTTGTAATATTTTGTAATTATTTTGTAAATGTAACCAAACAGAACGAATATGATTTGAACAGAACGAATACAATGAAGTTTATAGCTACCTTGGTTATTTGGTCTCCAGCATTGGATGCACCGTTAGATGACGTTAAATGGACAGAATTGCCTATGTTAAGAAAGGAAAATTGCATCAAGTCAAGAGACAGCATGTTAAGAGAATAGTCCATTTTTAAATCTGTAGATGCTTGTGTGGACTTCTTTTCTAAAGATATAACATATCCTGTATGCACCAAACCTGCGGCCCTGCTTAACAACTTTTATGACCAATAACACCATCGCCTACATCACTCATTCAAAAAAAATCAATACCCAAAACCAAAATATTGGTGTTGTGCAAAATTTACAGAAGTCGGAAACGTATATTTCTACTCGACAAAACTGTTTATTTTAAACTTAAATTCATAAAACTCTCACATTCGATTTACAAAATCTCTCCCTTTTTTGTTTTTTTTTCTCTCATACCCCTGACACAGAGTATACAGAGGCAGAACTCGCGGCGATTCCTTTGTTCTTTGTGTCCCCGTGCAACGTCATTTCCACGCGCCACGCAAATTGCTCTGGCAAGTGTCATTCGTCGTGTTTTCAGTCAAAAGCATAGGAAAAACACCATTCGAAAGTAGAAAAATAAATATTTTTGCGAAGTTGCTCCACCGATCTTCATTTTGGGACTCAAATTTGAAAGATAAATGGTAAGTGGTTATTTTTATGTAAAAAGATATACGTTTATAGGCTATATACAAAGAAAAAACAGTATAATCTTTGTACCGCATGGCCATATTTTACAATGCTTGTGATGTTCTGCCAAGAAGCAGATTCCATATCGCTAAATTAATGGCCAAACGTATTGCTTTCCTGTCTTTTACATTAATAAGAAAGCATGGTTGCTGATTTGAAACACTTCCATTGCACACTTCCATCAGGTTGCATGTAGCTTTGGGATTTGTGAGCAAAAATTAAAAGTTAAACTACCTATGTTTTTAATACTTTCTGTGCAACTGTTTTAATAAGCACATTCACAAATGTATTCTCCAGCAAAGAAACGTTTCTTTACGGATTGTTAATCCGCCTGCACTGCTTATGCCTTCAAAGGTCAGAGGTCTTGAACATGCAGAATAGCAGGGACTACTGTCATTGACATCCTTTGTCACAAAATTATGATGGCATATTGGACAGCTATGTTGGATAAGGCACTTGCTAAATAGTCTGACACATAAGTTAATGCAGGCTAAGTTTTGTTCAATTTCATTTGTTTTGTAGTCGGTATCTTCAACTGCTTGGATTAGTGGAGGGCTTGTCTAATCATTTCCTGCAGATAAATCAGATTGGTTAGAGTGAAATGCAATCAAATAGGCATCAGAATTATCAGCACAGTTGGCAGATGAAAGCGGTGTCAAAATATTATCTACAAATAATTTGCAAAATGCTCTGGTGAACTGGATGGGACTAATGGGTTGTCACAATCCCCCCCTGCTGCCTAATGAGGCCAAAGAAGTTCTCCAGAGGATCTTGGTTGAGACGTCTTGTCATGAGAAACTCCAAGGAATGATGTTGGTTGAGGTCTTGTAATATGTAAATACTACTGTATAATTACTACTGACAGTGTAAATACTACAGTAAAATGTAAATACTACAGTGTAATTGGGGTTTAAAAATACAAAGTTTATTTTAATAAATGTTGTTTATTTTATTTCACATTTATATACATTTAAGAACTTAAATTATTCAAAAACTAAATAAATATGTGTTCATGCAATGTCAATGAATATTCTATATTCTAAATTTGTTATTCCAAAATAGGCAATAACTGTTTCCTTTATAGTTAACCTCCACATGTTGTCATGAAAATTAATACTAAATAAAAAAAGTAGCCAATGATCCATGTTTCCTCTTACAGTCTTTGCTTTATATGAAAAGTTAAATACTATAAATAATTGCATTGTTCCTTTTATTGATAAAGAGTTTCCCATTAAAAGAGAAAGTATTCCCAATTAATACTTTGCCTGTTAAAGTGTGCTCACCCCTTGACGAGTAAAATCGTCTGGTGTTAGACAGAGTAAAATAATAAAGTAGGGGGCATCAGGGCACAATGCAACTCAATGGGTTAACTGGATCGTCTGGTGTTAGACAGAATAATAAAGTTGGGTTAACAAGTAAAATTGTCTAGCTTTACAGTACATCTTCCAAGGGGGGGCTGGATTTGGGGAGCAGGCCTACCACTTTTAGTTGCATTGGGGGGGGGGGCTGCTTTTTTGAACCTCAATTAAACTATTACAGTAATCTGAAGGCCTGTTTATATGGTCTCCGGGTACTAGGGAAATCCTACCCCCGAGCCACCCTGGCAAGGCAAAATTATATTCATATCCTATTATAGCAACTGCCATGCAAGTGTTTGCATGGAAAGTTTTGAACTTGTCTTGCCTAGTGGGATGATCCAGGTAGTAAGGTCACTCCGTCAGGGGGTACAGCATCTCTATTACTCAAGATTAATTATATAAACATTGCCTGAGGCTATGTAAAATTGGTAGGCATTCCAATATAAGATCAAATAGTCTCACGTTTTGCCCAATCAGAAGAACAAATTAACATAGTTGTAAGAATCTGCATCTGATTCATTGTAATGAACAATGTAGTTCAACAGGAATGATTGGCAATCTAGAAAAGCAAAATAAAAAATAAACAGATTAGATTATTAAACATGTACAGACTTGGCATGTTTGAGAAATTATTGACCTTTGAGAGCCAAAAAAAGGTTGTCATTGCACAATAACCAATGCACTAATCTAGGGGAATCACTATAAAGTATAATTTGATCAATCCCTCACCATTGGGTCAACATATAAGTTAAATAAAGTCTATATGAGAACTTTAGAGTACTGTGGCTCCATGTCCAAGTCCATCAGTCCATGTTGAATGTTGATGTTCATATTTTTCGTATCTGAATGCTGTTTATGCAATGTTTAAATTAACGACAACCCTTTCATACAACATTGCACTTCACAAAAATATATTGATAATTTCATATATATGAGCTAGAGAAAAAAAACTCACATATAAAGTTGCCAAGTTCCAGCTGGAGTTCAGGTCTACAGAATCGAATCTTCAGATTGCCAGAAATTCTCACTCCTTCGGGTGTCTTTTCTCATTTTCGCCGTTAAAAATGATATTCGTTCAATTCCCTTTTGCTAAGAAGACGCAGTGTGCCATTTATTTGCAAAATTCGTGCAGAAAATGAAGATTGATCGGTTACTGCGCTTAAAATCGCCGTTTTACTGCCAAAATTTTGCATTTCCCTATCTTTTTCCTGATAAAAAATGTGCATGACACTTGCCAGAGGGTCGCGCATGCGCATTAAAAAAGTGGGGACATGATTTGCCC